TTGCTACTTGACTTATACAATGCTATCATGAATTATTAGGGATTATTTGATTATTTTTTTCTGAATTAGCACTCCTCCATCACTTTAATTCCAGTGGAATAAATGCAGTCAGGTAAAACATTTGCAAATTTCAGCAATACCTCATTATATTTGCTTGTTGCTGTTTAAGCAGATTTGCACACCTTGAGTCATCAGGGTCACGTGCCTTTCCAACAAATAGATGGATAGATGATTTTTTCTTTTTCATATAAAAGTATCTACCTACTAGAACTAGAAAGCTATTTAGCAGAACTCCCTTTACTCAAGAAACAGATCTAAGTTTATGAAGCAAAGGATTATAAATGAGATTTGTGCTGTATCTGGAGTTCTTCCTTCTGTCTATGCATTTAAGATGGTATCAATATATAATTAAATTATATAATTACACTAAATTATTACACTATTGTCCGATTGTTCCAGAGGCCTAATCAGACATGTGAAACTACAGAATTTTCTTAAGCAAAATTCATGGGAAAGTATGAAAAAATTAACAAGTACAGAAAGAATTTCACATATATAGCATTCAGACAATAAGCATATTTGTATTTCTCATGTTGGAAGAAATAAAATAGCTGTTATATTCATTTAGGGGAACCATATCTGGCTGCCACAATCCAGATGATTACTAGATGGCTGCACAAAAATATAGAAAAATTATCCTTCCTGCCCTAATTCATTATGAGAAGAAAGAAACAGAAAAAAATACAACATTTACATTACTGAATATTGTTGTTCCTTCCAGATATTACTATGCAGATTCTCTTGATTTGGAAGACATGATGGTGTTAAGTGATCTAAAGAGACAGGCCAGATGGACCTTCAGCCTGAAGAACTGGCAGACAATCAAACCCCTCTGCAGCTCCAGGAGAGCCTGAGGTTGAGGAGCTGATTCAGAGAACGAGGGCCAGATTCTGGCAGAGAACAAAAAGGATCAGCAGAGAGGAGAGAGCAAACAACCAAGCTATGGCAGCACCTGAAGTTACACAAGGTGTCTATCAAAAGTCCTTGTCTGGAGTTTTAATTTTTAATAGCTTCAGTTCTGGATAAGATACAAAAAAATCTGTAAAATACAACGTGGGGGAAGTTATTTAAAATTTAGCGTATTTATTTATATGTAACTTCCAACATACCCACCATCATTTGGGATGCAAAGCAGGACACAATTTTAAAGTTTTCCAAACACATTCTGCAACTGACTTACAGCACTGTTACAGACAATACTTGTATCCCCACCTCTGCCTTTCTCCTGTTAGCAGATTGCTGACAACTCAAATTTCAAGGCAAGTTCTAGTGCTTTCTGGCTCATTATCCTTGTTACACTCAGGAAATTTACAATATAGCAATAAAGATAAGTTTTAGTTTCAGACTGGTGTTTGTTTTGCATTAGCTGGCACAGAACAGATACTTGCAAGAACACCTCCCATGTGATTCTAGTTGAAATTTACAGTCATCTGATAAGACCTATAATATGTCATTTTACCTTGAGAAATTATGTTTGTGGGTATTTAGGGCATGTCTTTTTTCCTAAATAAGCAATCTGATAATGAAATTCTTTTCTGAGCATAATAAAGGGCTTTGAAACAGCTTAAATATTATCTAAGTAGGGTATAAACTTTGGTGGCTTATAAAAAATGTTCAACTTGTTCAATTTTTTATATTGCTTAATATTTTATTTTATGCCTGTGTTGCTATGTTTAATTATGCATTTAACAGCATGTATATTTTTTATCATTTCAGGAGTCTGTTATATGAAGCACAGACCTATTAACAAAATAAAATTATTGTGTAAGGTCAACAGATTAATTTAATTTATTCAAACATAGAATTCTAATTTATCCTAATTCTATAGGATCTCTGCAATACAGGTAGTCCCCGGATTAAGAACGCCTGGGTTACAGACGACCCATAGTTAAGAAAGGAGCCTATTGTAGCAAAATTTGAGTTAAATACACAATGATTCAAGTTAAA